ATGCTATCAAGCAACATCTGCTCACCACTAACCTGCTCAGTGATGCCCAGTTTGAGTTCTGTCAGGGCCACTCAGCTCCTGATCTCATTACAGCCTTGGTTCAAACATAGACAGAAGAGCTGAATTCCAGAGGTCAAGTGAGAGTGACAGCCCTTGACATAAAGGCTGCATTCAACCGAATGTGGCATCAAGGGGCCCTTGCAAAACTGGAATCAATGGGTATCAGGAGGCAAACTCTCTGGTGGTTGGAGTCATACCTGACACATAGGAAGATGGTTGTAGTTGTTGGAGGCCAGTCATCTCAGCTCCAGGACATCTCTGCAGGAATTTCTCAGAGTAGTGTATTCAGCCCAACCATCTGTAGCTACTTCATCAATGACCTTCCCTTCATCAAAAGGTCAGAAGTAGGAATGTTTGCCAATGATTGCACAATGTTCAGCACCATTCATGATTCCCCAAATACTGAAGCAGTCCATGTTCAAATGCAACAAGATCTGGACAATATCCAAGCTTGTGCTGACAACTGACAAGTAACATTCACGCCAGATAAATGCAAGGCTATGACGATCACCAATAAGAGACAATCTAACCACTGCCCCTTGTCAATCAATGGTTTTACCATCACCGAATCCCGCCCCCCCTCCCCCATCAACATCCTGTGGGCTATCACTGACCAGAAACTCAACTGGACTCACCACATAAACACAGTGGCTACAAGAGCAGGTCAGAGGCTGTGGCGAGTAACTCACCTCCTGACTCCCCAAAGCCTGTCCATCATCCTCAAGGCACAAGTCGGGAAAGTGATGGAATACTTGCCTGGATGAGTGCAGCTCCAACAACACTCAAGAAGCTTGACACCATCCAGGAGAAAGCAATCTGCTTGATTGGCACTATATCCACAAGCATCCACTCCTGCCACCTCCAATGCTCAGTAGCAGCAGTGTGTACTATCTACAAGATGCACTGCAGAAATTTACCAACGATCCTTAGACAGTACCTTCCAAACCCATGACCACTTCCATTTAGAAGGATATGGGCAGCAGATACATGGGAACACAACCACCTCCAAGTTCCCCTCCAAGCCACTCACCATCTTGACTTAAAGAACATAGAACATAGAACAGTACAGCACAGTACAGGCCCTTTGGTCCACGATGTTGTGCCGACCTATTATCCTACTAAGATCAATCTACCCTGTGTACCCTACATTTTACTATCCTCCATATGCCTATCCAAGAGTCACTTAGAAGTCTCTAAAGTATCTGACTCCACTACCACTGCCGACAGCGCATGCCATACGCCCACCACTCTCCGTGTGAAGAACCTACCTCTGGCATCTCCCCGATACCTTCCTCCATTTACCTTAAAATTATGCCCCCTTGTAATAGTCATTTCCGCCCTCGGAAAAAGTCTCTGACTATCCACTCTATCTATGCCTCTCATCATCTTGTACACCTCTATCAAGTCACCTCTCATCCTTCTTCACTCCAATGAAAAAAACCCTAGCTCCCTCAACCTTTCCTCATAAGACCTGCCCTCCAGTCCAGGCAGCATCCTGCTAAATCTCCTCTGCACCCTCTCTAAAGCTTCCACATCTTTCCTGTAATGAGGTGAACAGAACTGAACACAATATTCTAAGTGCAGTCTAACCAGAGTTTTATAGAGCTGCAGCATAACCTCACGGCTCTTAAACTCAGTTCCCCTGCCAATGAAAGCCAACACACCCTACACCTTCTTTACAGCCCTATCAACTTGGGTAGCAACTATGAGGGATCTATGGACGGGGACCCCAAGATCCCTCTGTTCCTCCACACTGCCGAGAATCCTGCCATTAACCCGGTATTCTGCATTCAAATTCAACCTTCCAAAATGGATCACTTCACACTTTTATTTGGACTTGGAAATACATCGCTGTTCCTTCACTGTCGCTGGGTCAAAATCCTGGAATTCCCTCCCTAAGGGCATTGTGGGTCAACCCACAGCAGATGGACTGCAGGGGTTTAAGAAGGCAGCTCATCTCCACCTTCTCAAGGGCAACTAGGGATGGGCAATAAATGCTGGCCAGCAAGTAATGCCCACATTCCACAAATGAATACATTTTTAAAAAATTGAAGTAAATAAAGATGCTTTGCATAGCCATTATGGAGATGTGATAGGATGATGACAAGGATTAGATATTGAATACTGAGGGTAATAAGACATTCAAGAAAAATAGCAAGCTAGGATTAACCTCAAATTTATTCACATTTTACTTCACCTGCTATGCATTTGCCCACACACTCAATTTGTACAAATCATATTGAAACATCTCTGCATCCTCCTTATATTTTACCCTCCCATTCTGCTCTGTGTCATCTGCAAACTTGGAGATATTATGTTTAGTTTCCTTATCTAAATCATTAATATATAATGTGAATAGTTGGGGTCCAAGCACCGATTCCTGCAGTACCCCACAAGTCACTGGCTGCCACTCAAAAAATTACCTGTTATTCCTACTCATTGCTTCCTGTCTGCCAGCCAGTTCTCTAATCATGTCAGTGCACACTCCAAATCCCAAGGGCTTTAGTTATAGATGGTCCTCTAGAAGGTGAGAACGGGAAGTTAACAGAAGATAAGAAAATAACAGATGGAATCAACAAATATTTTGCTTCCGTCTTCTCAAGAAGATACAAAAACATTAAAGTGATTGCTATAAATCAGGGGGTTGATGAGAGAAAGGAACTTTCACTCATCATTAGACAAAGGGTTCTGAGCAAAATGATGGAGCTACAGGCTGCTAAGTCCTTGAGTCCTGATGAGTTTCAGTCTAGAGTCTTAAAAGAGGTGGCTGATGAGATAATAGATGCATTGGTGTTCTGGAAAGGTTCTGTCAGATTGAAAAGTAGCAAATAGAACTCCTCTGTTCAATAAGAGAGGGAAGCAGAAAACAGAAAGCTATAGGTCAGTTAGCTTGAGGTCTGTGTAGGGAAGTGCTTGAATTGATCAATAAGGAAGTTACAGCCAGGAACTTAGAAAAATTCAAATTAATTGGGAAGAATCAGCTTGATTCGGTGAAAAGGAAACCATGTTTAAATAATTTACTGGAATTCTTTGAAGAGGTAAACATACACTCTCCATAAAGAGAAGCCTGTAGACATAGTGTACTTGGATTTCCAGAAGGCATTTGATAAAGCACCACATCAAAAATTATAATGTAAAATAAAAACTCATTGTATGAGGGTAAAATAGTAACATGGATAGAAGTTTGGCTGGCTGGCAGAAAGCAGAGAGTATGCATAAATGGATCTTTTTCTGATTGGCAGACTGTGACAAGTACAGTCCCTTTGTTATGGGAGGGATTAGTAAATGAGGGATTAGAAAATAAATTTGCAGGTGACACAAGGATAGGTGGGAAAGTATGCTGTGAAGAAAGCACATGGAAGAGTGCAAATACATATAGATGATTTGAGTGGGTGCAGAAAAAACTGGCAGATGGAGTACTACATGGAAAACTGTGAACTTGTTCACTTGGGTAAGAAGAAGCAAAAAAAAACAGTATTAATAATAGAGAATGACTGCAGAATTCTGAGACATAAAGGGACCTATGTGCTCTGTGGCATGAATCACAAAAAGTGCAGCAATTAACTAAGCTTGTTAATGGAATGCTATCCTTTATTCTGAAGGGAATTGAAAATAAAACTAAAGATGTTATGCTTCTCTTATATACGACTTAGGTGAAATCACATCTCAAATAATTTGTGTAGTTTATTTATTTAAGAAAGGATGTAAATGTGAATATCTGGCAGATGGTTCAGAGGAACTTTACTGGATTAACACCTGGAATGAGTGGATTGTTTTATGAGGATGGATTGAACAGGCTGGGCTTGTTTCTACTGGAGTTTAGAAAAAGGAAGGTTGGATTGATTGAAGTAGTTTTGACAAGGTGGATGTGGAAAGGATGTTTCCTCTTGTGGATGAGTTCTGAACCAGAAGGCACTGCTTAAAAATTATGGGCCATCCTTTTAGGATGGAGGAGAATTTTCATCCAAGGGCAGGTTGTACAACTTTGGAGATCTCTGCCTCATAAGGTGGTGGAGGTAAAGTCATTGAATATTCTTAAGGCAGAGATAGATAGATTCTTGTTAGGCAAATGAATCAAAATTCATTGGGGTAGATGAGAATATGGAATTCAAAAGACAAACAGATCAGCAACAACCATATTGAATAGGACAGCAGAATTGAGGAGCTGAATAGCTTATTGCTGCATCTAATTTGTATGTTCACAAAGAGGTTCACTGAACATGCAGCCCAGATCACCACAAAGAAAAGTGATCATAAGAAATGGGAGATGGAATAGACCATTCGACCCATACAGCCTGCTCTGCCAAATAGATCATGGCTTATCTGATTGCAGCCTTAGCTCTCTTTCTTGTCCACCCTCCACAATATCTCTTGGCTCCCTCATGGATCAACAACAAAAATTAGTACTTCTTTCCATCTCACTTTAAAGAACAAGTTTAATTATTGCTGCTCCTGCCCTCCCTCGACACACAGCTTTGACTAAGGTAACTGGTGCCGGTAGGAAGTCTCGAGCTATGCAGGCACATTGACTGGGCAGTTTTGTAGGTTCCATTCAGTTGTTTTCACAACTGTGATAGCCACATCCACAAACACCTTGCCTCCCCTTCCCCTCCCCCTACCCCCACAACCCATCCAGAGTTGACATCTACACCCACTTACATGAGGGCTGCTGTGCAGCTAGCAGTGGGCTGATTTTCTTTCACTTCAAGTGTTTCCTTTGCTGACAGGTTAAAATACCGCCCCAACCCTGTGACAAGGAAGCCTGAAGCTAAATATCAGTGATGCCTAGCTCTCAGAATTCTAGGCAGGGCTTGTACCCTGCACTACTTCTCCAACTCATAGAAGTCTTTGAATTTCTAGGTCAGTGACTCTAAAAAGTGTACAACTTTCCACATAAACCACAAGGATCGATGTCAATCAAACTCAAGGGCTAGGATTGATTCTTCTCTTGAACACTCTGTTTATTAATATAAGACATTTTTGGAAGAAGAATGCAAATACTTCAGTCCAATTCATGTCACCACTTTCGCTGGTCTTTAAAGCTAAGCTACCACAGGCAGCAGTGAAAATTCCAGAAGTTGCTAAAGCACATTGGATTTGTGTTTTTATCATGCAGTTGTTTTCACAATTCTAATCTATACCATTAATCTGTACCATGGCTTGAGCATTACTCCATTGGGCTCTGTTCTAATACTGAACCCCTGCTAATCATACAAACAAAACTATCTTTTGTCAATATTTTCAATAGTCAATTTACATATATAGTACTTCTCCAAGGGGAAATAGTATAATCAGATATGTAGTAGTAAGAAGACAGTTAATCAGAATACTGAAGGGTAAGTTCCTAGCCTACTCTATTGTCATCTCTTCAACTGCATCTGCAAGTTTCTGGTACTGCTCCAGTTCATTGTAGATATGTGTGGAGATCCGAACATACAGCTTTCCTCCCAAGGCTTTGACTGGTACCTGATTAGAAACAAGAAGATCAAAGTGTGGTAAACAAATGTTATCAGTCAGAAAATCAAATGAGTTTCAGTATAGTGTAGGCAGCAAAGATGATTGAAAATTTTTTTGTAAATATCAGCTAAGGACAAAATCAATGAGTAATATTCTCTACGGAAAAATGCATGGATAAATAGAAAATAAACATTGAATAACAGCACAACCATTTTCCAAAAGAACATTTTCTTGTATATTTTTCATTGCTTAAGCTGGGTAAAAGAGATCGAAAGCGGTAACCTGTTTAAATGTTAATGCACCGTTGGAAGTATCTGTACAGCATGGCCTGTAACTGTTCTTCAACTTCGCTTTCTCATTTTAAGGACTTAAATGAATGATGGCCTTGCTGTTGGGTAAGATGAGAACATATCATTGTAGGAAGAACTTGTGGGACAAGCCGGTGTTTTTTCACATTGGAGGCATTAGAAGAATAACAGTAACCTTGATTTTCCCTGAAGGGAAGAATTTATGCTTAGATAATCACTGGCAAGACTTAAAACCAGCTTAGGGAATCAGCACTCCCTAATTTTATGTAGTAGTTAGTTAAGATGTACAGGCTTCATTAAGTTAGTGACTTTCAGAAAAGTCTGAATAAGACTAATCAGTTTTTCAATTATTGGCGATGCCAGGCTGGTAATAGGAGCACAGAAGGCAATGTGGATGTGGGCAAGTAAACTAGAATTATAAAATACAGTAAAGAGTAGAGAGAAATCAAGTGTCAGTATAAGGTACTGAATCGGGAACTGGCCTAAAACCTTGATCTTTATCTACAACCATCCCACTGAATAGGGGGCCTGCCTGCCAATTAGTTCACATTGTGTTGTGTGAGTTCATCATGTGGCAAGAGAAGTACTAGCACACTTAAGCAGATAAGCAGTTTAAATGCTCAGGGTTGTACCCCTCCAGAAGCTAAGGCCAGGCAGATTGTAACATCTTCGCTACTGCCAGGGCTGTGTAGCCCAACTGGTTTTCTGCTCATCACGAGAGAGATTAGTTGCCGGGATGATAGGCAAGTAGGCATTATGAAGAGAGTAGCATATGGCATTTTCGTTGTGTAGCTGCCAGTCCTGGAAGGTTCATATGTCCACTGATAGATATACATGAGAAATCAATCACTTTATGATATTATTGAGAAATATATACTGATGACAGCCAGCTCCAACTCACCACCATCTCTTTGAACCTTTTGCTATCCCTGATATTCCATGTTCCTTGTCCAATATCCAAATAATAAAACTGTAGAAATTTCCTCCAACTAAATCTTGGGGAAATTGAAGTCTTTGCCTTTGGACCTCATCACAAACATGGTCCCCAACCTCTGTTTCCACCCATGGAAACAGTCTTAAATTCACCAAAATAATGACCCAAGTTAATGCTTTCAACTACATTTCTGCATCATTACCAAGACTGTCTACTTCCATCTCAGCATCATCACTCACTTCCATCCCAGTCTTGACAAGTTGGACATGGAAAGGGACAATCCATTGTCAATTAGATTTGTGTCAATCCAGAACTGGAGAGAACTGTTTTAAAATTAAGGATCGCTCTTTCAGGACAGAGATGAAGAGAATTTCTTTTCACTCAGAAGGTTGTGTGACTTTGAAACTCTGCCTCAGAATGGTGGAATTGAATATTTTTAAGACAGAGATGGATAGATTCTGAATGAAGGGTTATTAGAGGTAGATGAAATGGAATTTGAAACAAACAGACCATCCAAGATCTTATTCAATGGCTGAGCAGGTTTGAGGGGCCAAATGGTCTACTTCTGCTCCTATTTCATATGCTCACATGCTTCAGCAGCGCCTTCTGTTGCTGAAACATTAATTGGTGCCTTACTGATGACTAGTCTCGACTACCCTAGTGCCGTTGTGGATTGTATCCCTTTTTCACACAACATAAACAAGCTCATTATAAAACTGCTGCCTGCATCTAAATTTGCTTGAAATCTCATTTACCCGTCAGGCTGTTTTTGCTGATTCCGCTGGATCCCTGTCTAACAACATCTCAATATTAAAATCTTCATTCTTGCTTTCAAATCTCTATCTTCCCTTTGTAATCTTCTCCAGCTCTATAAGCCCTTTAAATAGAAACACAGAAACAAGGAGCAAGAGTAGGCTATTAAATACGAACATGGCTGATCCTCTATTGCAATGGCACGTTCCTCCTTTCTCCCCACACTCCTTGATGCCCTTAAAATCTAAGAAATTATATTCAGTGACTTGGTCTCCATAGTCTTCTACGGGAGAGAATTCTACAGGGTGACTACCTTTCTTCATCTCAGCCCTAAATGGTTTACCCTGTATCCTGAGAATGTGTCCCTGGTTCTAGACTTCCCAACCAGGTAAAACATCCTCCCTGCATCTAGTTTGTCTAGCCCTGTTAGATCTTTGTGTGCTTCAATCAGATCCCCTCTCATCCTTCTAAACTCTAATGAACACAGGCCACTTGAACCGATCTCTCTCCATGGGACCGTGCTGCCATCGCCTATCAGCCTAGTGAACCTTCGCTGTGTCATAGTGTAAACAATGACACAGCGAAGTTCAATAACTGTTCATGGATTGAAAGGATCATCAATAACTTTTTTGTGGAATAAACGGTTTCCTGGGATGAAAGGGAAAGTAGAAATTGTTATAAAGGAATTAAAAGCAACATGCTAATTAGTTATCCCTGGAAGAAGGAGTCGAAGCAACTCTAACAAGCTGTTCCTGGTAGACAGGGGCTAACACTGCTTGATAAACTACTGCCTCATGACAAATGGCAATTAGGATTTCCTGCAAAAGGAATCTGTTGAAGTAAAGGGGTTAATTGCAGGAAAAGTTGTGTTTTCAGAAAGACAGCTAACATCAAATATGACAAGGAGCACGGGAGTTACTTCTGATAAAAAGGCAAGCTGCAGACTTGAGGACTCCAGAAGGCTAATCAATATTGCAGATGAAAGAATCTAAAGAATCATAAATAATGTCACACAAAAAACTCGAAAATTGTATAAGAATTCAACTCCAGGATTCTTCAGCAGCAGAACTCTGAAGAATCACATTGCAAAAGGATTGAACCCTGGACACATCCAGAGACAGACTCTGTTGGCTGGATTAGTAGCTAAATTCCACCATTAATCAACCAGAACATTACCTTCTAATGCCTACTGTCCATTTCCTGTTAGTCAGCCATTTCCATGCCAATATATTACCTCCTACACCATAAATGTTTATTTTCCACAACTATCTTTGACTTATCAAATGTTTTCGGAAAATCCAAACACAATACATCCACTGGTTCCCATTCATCTATACAGCCTGCTGAATCTTCAAAGTCCAGTAAATTGGTTAAATATTTTTCCGTCATGTTGACTCATGGTTGGTTGCACATGATTTCTCCTTCACTAAACCATGTTGATTTTGCCTGATTATTTAAACATAGAACATAAAACATAGAACATAGAACTGTACAGCACAGTATGGGCCCTTCGGCCCACAATGTTGTGCCGAACTTTTACCCTAAACCTAAGGTCTATCTAACTTCAACCCCTACCTTATACTATCACCATATGCCTATCTAATAGCCGCTTAAATGCCCCTATTGAGGCCAACTCCGGCACTATCCGGCAATGCATTCCATGCCCCTACCACTCTCTGAGTAAAGAACCTACCTCTGATGTCTCCCCTATATCTACCTCCACTCACTTTAAAACTATGCCCCCTCGTAATAGCTACCTCCACCCTAGGGAAAACGTCTCTGGCTATCCACTTCATCTATATCTCTGACCATTTTGTACACCTCTATCAAGTCACCTCTCATCCTTCGTCATTCTAAAGAGAAAAGCCCTAGCTCTCTCAACCTTTCCTCGTAAGACCTTTCCTCCATTCCAGGCAACATCCTGGTAAATCTCCTCTGCACCTTTTCCAACGCTTCCACATCTTTCCTGTAATGAGGCGGCCAGAATTGGACACAATACTCCAGATGTGGCCGAACCAGGGTTTTGTATAGCTGGAGCATAACTTCACAGCTCTTGAATTCAATCCCTCTATTAATGAAAGCTAACACACCATACGCCTTCTTAACAACTCTATCCACCTGGGTGGCAGCTAGGATAGAACCTTTCTAAGTTCCCTGTTACAACATCTTTAATGATACCTTCTAATATCTTCTCTATGACAGATATTAAGCTAAATGGCCTGCTTTCCATCTTCCTTTTTTGAATAAAATAGTTACATTCAGCTGGAATCTTTCCCAAATCTAGGGAATTTTGGAAATGAAACTCAGAATGCCCGGCCTCCAACCTCGCTGCCTTGGAACTCTGGGCCCCAGCACAAACCCAATGAGGTGTCCTCTCGGCCCGGTGTGGTAGTCAGTTGGCCTGGTGTGGCAGTGTGCTGGAGGTGTGCAGTCCTCTTGGCCTGCCTCTTGGCCTGGCGTGATATCCTCTCCGCCTGGTGTGGTGATCTCCCAATGGCCCAGTGTGGTGGTCTTTAGGCAGAATGTGATGGTCTCTAGGCCTGGCATGGCCTCAGTGTGGACTTCTGGTCTTGAAGTGATTCCAGAGCAATCTCCTGGAGGTGAAGCCAAGCGTGGTCTGGAGTCAAGGCCCAGTGTGGACTGGTGGCTAGATGCCAACATGGTCTAGGTCAAAACACCGTTGTTTTGAATGTTTTCTCCATTTTATAATTTATTCCTAAGTCTGCAATGCTGGACTTTTTAACCTCTACTTTTCTAAGAACTAGGGGCGGCACGGTGGCTCAGTGGTTAGCACTGCTGCCTCACAGCGTCAGGGACCTGGGTTCGCTTCCACCCTCGGGCGACCGTCTGTGCGAAGTTTGCACATTCTCCTCGTGTCTGCATGGGTTTCCTCCGGGTGGTCCGGTTTCCTCCCACAGTCCAAAGATGTGCATGCTAGGTGGATTGGCCATGCTAAATTGCCTGTAGTGTTCAGGGATGTGTAGATTAGGTGGGTTATAGTGGGGTGGGTCTGG